TATTTTTAATATGAGTGTGCATACAATTATACACAACATAGGAATAATGACATCATTATTTTGGGCTACACAACGCAGTTGTCATAAAAATATAATAATGATAAAAATAAAAAATAAAAAAAAATACTTGGAAATCTACATAAAACACGACGTAAGCGAAACAACAAAATACACACAAATGTCGAGTACCATTCTTTATAGAGCCGTCTCTTATAGTTTCTAGTGAGTAGGTACAGCTCCATCTCCTAGTATAGACACACTTGATTCGCGTGGAAAAAATAAAAGTATAAAACTCTCCAGTATGTTTTCCCATTTAGATCCCCTCAGTAATTTTGTCCTTACTTTTTAAAGTAAAGAAAAACAGTAAAAATTAAACACCTGCAACGGGGTAAGTTGAAGTCCAACTAAAACTTACTAACAGTCACTAACACTAACTAATATATTTGTAGTGTTTAGCCACAAACTACAATTTCTAGATATTTAAAATGAACTTATTACACAAAAAAAAAACTAACCATTAATTAAAATATGTTAAAAAAATACATATTACAACACTTTATGGAGAGCTCAATTTGTTCTTAACCAGTTCAATATTAATTAAATCAGAGTACCTATACCTATATAAATTATTATCTAAATGATCATCGAAAATATATAAACACAGTGTTTTATATATGAGTTTAAACTTCACACAAAAATATCTAAATTAATTTATTGTTGAAAATTCTAAAAAATTGTTTTTTATTAAGTACCTAATACATAAATGTATTATGCAGTATGCTATATATATGTTACTGTGGCAAAATCATAATAAAAATGTTCAGTTGGTGGTATTAATTTTTATAAACCTTTACAGTTTAAATGAAGATTAAATTTGATATTGAATCATAAAATAACGATTTTAGTTTTTTGCTGTACCTAATTGAAACATTTTTCCATTACTACAGGTATTATTATTTTCTATGTACAATACAACTTTTAAAATATTTAGACTAATATTAATCGTTTTTCACCTTTAATGATTTATCATTGAATTATTTATTGAATACCCATTCCAATGATTAACCACAGTGTATAGATATATATGGACTTTACTGTACAGCAGAGTAATTCCCTGGGTATATTTTCTTTAAACATCCTGAAATTACGTCCTAGTTCAAAATTTTTACTTTTAACAATTATAAAATAATAGGTAACATTTTTTGATATTTTTTAATTGTTGTAGAAACAACGCCTTAGTACCATGTTTAAAATATTTTAATTTGTATCATCAAAAAAATTATTTTTGAATCTTTCCAAGCTTCTATTACCCAATCAATTATAAGAAAAACTAAAGCAGCTATATTTTTTTGTTAAATTAATTTCAATATTACTTACCTATATAGTTTTTAACAAGACCATTTCTCTTGAACTTTCCTCTGAATTGATGGTTTAAGATGAAAAACAGAAGTGGAATGTACTGCAAATGGAAACACTTCACTTAAATGCATTGACGGAAGCATTGTCAGTTATAATCTTCAGTGAAATTGAAATATTGAAATTAAGCTAATTTTGTTAAGTAAACTTACTATAGTGTAAAAGAAAAGTTGAATATATAATAAATCTTAATCTCGACCTGTAATTTATGCATATACTAAAGGCACGGCTATCTTATCATCACTTTCTCTTTTAATGGAACTGTGAATTACATAAACTTGATTAATTAATTCTGAACATGATTTGAATCATGATGGACACGTATATAACCCAATACTTAAATCTACTAGATTTATTCAAATAGTAACAATTTTTTAACTGTTGAAAAGAGGAAAATATAAAAATTATTTTTTCCGCTCGTTTTCTTACAATTTCTTCATTTCAAAATAATTGACACTTCGACAAACGTAGTTTTTAATGATGAATGAATGATGTTGTCTCCAGCAGATATTGAATTTGGCTGTAAATGACCTTGGATCTTTCCACTTAACCATACATTTAAGTGCAACTTTAGAAAGTTACGATGCTATTCAGTAACAACATCAATAGCTTTTTGGTATAGTGTATTAATGTAGATACTTTGCCATTTTGGGATAAGTTTCTTTTTCTTTTTGTCTAATGTTTTTAGTCATTTTATACTTGCCATTAGTAGAGATTTTAAATTTTCCACCATTAAGTACTTATATTATTTTTAATGCATAGCAAAACAATTTTTAGTACTGATTTATACTCGATTTTTTGGTAATAATTAGTTCAACCAACCGAAGATAGAAATTACTAATAATAAAGAAATTTAATATAAGCTGTCAAATTTAACTTAAATTTTAACTTTATTCCTTTATTGAGAAGAGATTTCTCATTAGCACGATAATTTATTGATGAATTCAAATTCACTACATTCATTACAGTGACTACTCAAAGGACAGGGCTTCTACTATGTACCTTACTTAGATAGTTACCTTTTTTTAAAGACATTTTAACACTAATTGTTATTATGATTATTTAGTTGAATCACTTTTGTAAATTTTAACATTTTACATAACTTTTAAAGTAATAATAATTTTACATCAAAATCTGTCATGCAATTACACATACCTATAACCTAAATATTATAGTTTATAGATGTACCTATTGGTGTTCAAACACATCTAAATCTTACAAGAATCTAAATAACTCGCTAAGCTGTACAATAGATTTTCGAGTCAACCTCACCATTGAGTAGGTCACTGTAATTTATATATTAAACTTGAATTCAATGATAAATCACTGTATACGAAAAACTAATTCTAAGTGAAGATAGTTTGTCAGCCTATATTTCAAAGGATATACATTTATAATGTATGTATTATAAATAATTTAATTTCCATTAATAAGTAATATCTCGGTTGGAATTATCTAATTATTATTTGTTATATTATTATTATTAATCATAATTATATTATTATCTTATATTATTGTTATTGACTTAGAATAGACAGGTAGGTATTGTAGGATGTTAAAACAATTCATAGTATAAATAACTTACAATTAGACAAAATATTTTTAGAATGTCATTGTGCGTAGAAAATAATGACATGCGTAGTACGTACCTAAAATGGCGAAATTTTTCAAATCTCTATGGTTAATATTTTTTAAACTACAAAAAAAAATAACTAAAATGGATAGAGGAAAACTCTATAGAAAAAGTTTGCTTAAATATCCAATAATTATCGTCAACATTTGAACTTAAAAGCCAACCTGTATACTTTGATCTTAATAAATTAATTAAAGATTATTCTAAAAAGTAAGAGGAACGTTGTACTACATTATTAAGTTGGTATTAGATATTAAAATCGAAACAAATTATGCATATAATTTGCTCAAATAAATTTGTAATACAAATTTCAAGTCACTGAGGTTTTGCTTTTTGAGTTATAACTAAAAAAAAATGTATAATAATGTCGAGGTGAATCCTATCTGAACCCCTATTGACACGCATGTTAACAAATAACAAATAAACGAGTTATCTGTTAGTGTAAAATATACTGATAGTAATTTTTGCTGAAATTATAATATACATTCATAATTTATTATACCCTAGATTAAATATTAAATTAAATATTATTTAATTTATTTTTATTTATATTTTAATATTTATTATTTATTATTTTCTAATATTATTTAATTTGTTATTTTTGTCTGATCAATCTTGCAGTTTGGTGTGAACCATTTTTCACGGTCTTTGTATTTCATTTGTCTGTCGATTTATGAAGAGTAAAGAGCACACATTTTTAGTAACGCATTGAGTGTTTTACTGTAGTTATCATTTCCAATTGTTTTTCTCTCAAACAGTGATCAATAAAATTGTTATAATTCTTTCAGATTCCTGAAATGTGTAGGTAGGTAGGTACACCAAAATACAGAAAACTAGTATAGAATACATAGATTATTATTTTCTATAAATAATTAGTGTGCGAGCGTAAGTGAGTATATGTTTCAGATTGTCTATGTGTACGCTGTACCTATGTGTATGTGTGATATATAAATAAATAAGTATTAAGTATTAATCTGATCCAAGTAACCTAACTCCTATAATATATAGTATGTGTGAGTTGACGAACAAATACTTAAATGCAACTAAACGCCATTAGGTGCGTACGTGACGCGTGTAGATTTTGCGACATCCCTTGTGTAAATTATCATTGAGGTATCATTCATCAATCATATTATAGAAATAAGCTCTGGACAGACTTTCTTTTAGCCTCTTTTTGATACACAATTCGTTAAGTTTTCATTTTAAAAATATACTTTAATAGTTCAAGTAATTTTTTTCTTCTTTGCTCCTAAAAGATTGCATTATTATTTATTAACCATTTTACTTGTACTAAAGTAGTGGTATTCCGTCAATAATAATTTGAGGTTTATTCACATAATATCTTAAAAATATTCTTGTTTCTTTTTGTTGTAAACGTTTTAAATGTATCGTATATTAAATTAGTTTAAAAAAAATTATCTTAGCTTTATCTTACAAACTTACATAATATTATATGCAATGCTATTAAAATGTATATTAGGTATTTTGAACTCATGTATCAAGGTCTTATACATTTGTTTTTTTAAAGTATCATTTCATTGAAGTATAATTTTCACTTCATACAAATATTTTACGAGAACTACAGCTAATATAAATTTATGATGGCAGTATGATAGGTAGGTAATTTTAATTTTACTTGGAGAGTATCTTAATTCTTAATCATCATTATGTTTGCAAATTATACCTACTCCACGTATATTATCATCTACATATAGTTTCCTTAATTAAGGATACTGCAGTATATAATATGTATACATATAATTGCCGTTTATGTAAAGTAATATCCAGTGGATACAGTTTTTAATGCCCTTTAATTTCTGTTTGAAAATGAGTATCTGTGTAATTTTGAATGATTTATAACATTGACTATGATATATACAAAGCAATTCGTGTTTAATTAACACGTACCGTTAATTAATATTGTACTATAATAATATTTTATTTTCCACAGTAACTCGAATAATCAAGGATTACAGGGATTTCAACGAAAGGACCAAATGGACGCCAAATCGAAAGATGACTCCAACATCAGCCTTACACTTCGGCTAATAATGCAAGGAAAGGTAAATATTATATTTTGAGTTAATCTTCAACATAATATTATTTATTATTCTAAAAAAAGTCTAAAAGTAATATGGGTAAAGAATAATGAATATGAAATGTAATAATTAATATTGTAATTTTCGATTCCGTCTTCCCCTCGTGTACTTGAAGCCTTAAAAAAAAATGTAGTAAATAATCCATTTAGTGTTATTATTACTTCTAGTATACTAAATAGGTAGTCTCGTAAGTGAAACCATATTACACTTGTATGTGCTACTTGTATAGTGTATACACATACATTTAGGTAAATAATAAATGTATAATGTTATACATGGTGATTGATTTAAGTATCTACACAAATTTGTTCGAAAAGTTAGAAAAGTCACAACAAGAGTAGATCTCGCGTCTCCGAACAAAGTTGTCCACTACTCTCTCATCAAAAATTTTAAATTAAATATTTAAATAAACGTATAACTTATTAGTTACTAACCACTCACCCAAAATTCGTTTTTAATGTATCAAAGAATTCCGAAAATACTAAGTTACTACCCAAATTTACTGCCTTTTAGTGCAATCTATCAGTATTATTTTTGTTTTCCACTCATTAGATAAATTCAGTTATTATTTTGTCATATCATCATATTAATTAATTCGATATAGGTACATAACGATGTTTAATTATTTTTTATATAATAATATAATACATTATTATGACCACTACCTAGTGTCTAAAAAGACAGTATAATATCGCACGAGAACATTCGACTGTCGCCTGACATTGTCTAGTCAAGCAACCATTCTGACATTTCTAATTATATACACAGTCATGAACAGTCGTCAGTTTTGTAGACTGGTCTTAATAATTGTTCACTCGGTACATATTTATATGCAATATACATAGGTAGTATTATTATGAAGTTGTATATAGTAGATAATATGTATATTATATTATTATAGTAGTACTATACTGTATTATACGCATTTGCATGGCGATTCAAAAAAGCAATGTAAACGTACATGCAACATGGTAGGTCGTGAATACGTACATCGTTATTGATAGATAAGTTACCTACTGCAAATAATGAGTAAGAAAAAATGTATTCGAGTGAAAATGGATTGCCAGAATCTATTTATAAGGATATTTTATAATTTATTTATCTTAATACAACTTATCGATTTCAAAAATTATATCATGTCTAAAGTATTATGCTCATATATTACTATTTTATAAATATTTAGGAGAAATTTCAAGTACCTAAACCTACCGTTATCCATTTTAAAATTACAATTGACGACAGAATAACAACACTATACTGTTAAAAAGTGGTACTAAGTAAATATTCCCGTTTTTTTTTTTAGTTTTTCCAATTATTTTTAAAATCGTTGAGAATTTTTGATTTTTGATCCTCTCGAAGTACCAACTAGAACTGTTTTTAGAGAGTTGTGAAAGTCTTATAACTGTACTATATTTTTATTTTATCACAATAGAAGCGATGGGTTACCAAATTAAATCCAACAATCTACCATTTTATTGCCTATACTATTCATTGAAGTATAATAACAATTATGATAAAACTTTTTTTCTCGGGAATAAAAACTCTAGTTTAGAACTTTTAAAAATAGATGATTGTGAAAAAAAGATTTTACATTAAATCTCTAGGGGGTATATAAAGTAAACATTGTACATTGTACACAAATACTCAAAAGTAGTTTCATTTATCCATAGAAAAACGTCAAAGTTTGATTAAATTTAAAAACAATTCCTGCTTATATCAACAGGAAAGATATATATATTTTTTCTGTAAATCGAAATGTAGCATTTTTTTCTTAGCCATATAAACGTTAGGCTCTCTTTTTAGTTGTAGTATTCCAATGCAGTTGGAACAGACTTTAATTTCAACACCAAAATATCTGTATAAGTTAAACTATCCTGAATTAAACGAAAATAGTAAATGGTAAACCTGGTTGAATTGTATTATGTTATGCTCCCGAGAAAGCATTTAGGCTGCTACATACTAAAGTGTGTCTTACACTTTTACCTAAGTCGTATATTGTCAGTAAAATATCATTAAACATTTTTATACTAAATATAAACTGTATTATATACAAATATTGGTGCAGTATGGTACACTATGGTCAGTGACATATACAACATTTTTTTACAAAATCTGATTTATGGTAAACAGCTGGTTATGTTAAGTCCCAACCACTGGCAACACCCTTCTAAATTATTATAACAGTTTTAGTTTTTTTTCAATTAAAGCATTTTTAAAATCCATTTAAGACATCAAATAAATTTATTGGGTGATTATACATTTTCGTTGTAACATTTAAAATATACAACAACACACATACTATATAGTTTTTTTTTAATGCTATCGCCATTATTTGGTCTTTTATTTTGACATACGCATGTGCACATAGTTTCTGATAACCACCAGACTGATCCAACACTTTTTTATATTATTACATAGGTAATATGGTTTGATTTTCAATATGCCAACAATTGTTCTTTATTTTAATCAAAGATGTTGCAATTTAAAACATATACCTCAGTTTTCATAAAATAGAGAAAATGACTCATACATACCTGAAAGTTTAAATTTAAATGATTAAACTTTATTACAGTAAATATCTGTTCAACGTTTAAAGAGGCGTTGATGCCTTGATCTCATAAAAAATGTGCCTAATAAATTAATAACTTATGTTTTATTAATAGGGTGATACAACTCTTTGGATGGACTCCCTTTCTGTTAATTACTCTTCGTCTTTCTTGCTCTCTCTCTCTCTCACACACACACATGCACACACTCTTTTTTCTTACATGTATTATTCTCACTATAATAAACCTATTTATATTTATATTAATACACTTTTATCAAATGTATGTATTATGCTTTGGTATTGATGACAAATATTCAATTTAAAAAAGGTGAACAAGTGGGTACTACTCCACTTAAAATCTAAAAACACACATCATAGTAAATACAATACATTTATTCGCTAAGCTCAGAATCTACAAAATGTTACTGATTTCCAGTTCACTTGAAACTTTTACAAGTTAAAAAAAAAAGTAACTTTTAATTTTAAATTTAACTTAAACTTGTGAATCCATAATAATTTAGGTAACAGAATGATTTTAAAAAAAAGTAGTTAACTAGCTCAGCTTTGTTGGTGTGTGAATATATTGAATTACGATTTAGTATTTAAGCCCTTGATTGAGTAATAAAATCATAAATAATAGTTCTAAGATTGTAAACATTTAAATTGTCAACGTTGGCATCGAACTCCAGTTTATTTAAATTACCATTGAGTGTTATTATAATCCCATTGATGTTTTTTATTTAGAGAATGGATTGTGGAGTTATATTACATAAGTTACCCTTACCATTACCTACTAAAAATATTTGCATTAACTAAATGAGAAATTATACTTATTCATTATAAATGGTAATACAATTTTTTTACAGGAAGTTGGTAGTATAATAGGGAAAAAAGGAGAGATTGTCAAGCGGTTCAGAGAAGAGGTATGTATACAATCCATCTAGCAATATTCTTTCCCGAGCGTCAGATTAATACGGGCCATCCTGGAGGATATTAATCACGGGGTGATTTAGAAATGGGGTGTAAGATTGAGTCCAGAAAGGTCCCGGGGAATAGTGAAATTATACATTGTGCGAGAAACATTTCCGACAGTTTCACCCTTAGACAGAAATATTCATTTCTTTTATATTGATCGAACTTGACATTTTTCGGCTGATGAATCTTAACACGTTACTTAGATAAGCTCTAGAAGATTAATCATAGTTAAAAAAACAATAAATTCAAAATAATCTTCAGTACAATGAAGCTCCTTTTTAAATAGTTATAACCTAGAAAACACAGCAACAATTTCTCTCTTTCTTAAAATACGTAAATAATTCATTATTTAATTATGTATAGTTAAATTAGATAATATTATAAATTTTGCTTAAGTCATTTTCTGCATGATATTCTTAAGTTATTATCTAACTTAGTAAACTTAAATCAATAATAATTTCACAGTTCACCCTCCGCTCACATTAAAAAAGGAGTATTTTATTCAATATTAATTAAATAACTGTTGGCTGCTAATTGCTGCTGTATCAATGTATTTATAATTACATTTTTTCACAGTCTGGTGCCAAAATCAATATATCTGATGGCTCTTGTCCTGAAAGAATAGTGACCATATCAGGATCTACTGAAGCCATTTACAAAGCATTTTCTTTAATATGCACAAAAGTTGAAGAGGTAAGTTTTTCACATATTTACTCGATTGGATATAACTTGTGTTAAGACAACCAATATGTTTGATGCAGGGTCACATTTTGACATTTAATCATTATCCATTAATGATATACATATTTAAGATTAAGATTATGTGAAGTTGGCTATTGTAATTAGGTTGTAGGTAATAGAAAAAATTTTAAGTTATTTAATTATTTAAAAGTGGTTATTTTATATTTTAGATAATGGCCTGAAAAGTGCAAAGTCAGGTTTTGTTGATAAAAATCGTCTATTAATTATATTATTATTCTTAAATGTTTCTGTATTTATTTGTTTTAGTTTCATTAGTTAACCAAAATTATTTATTTAGTACAATCATTTATGCCTAATTACTAATTAGGTCTGAATAGGTGTAGTTTTTGATTTATGATTACACTGTTGTGTATAATTTACTCAATATATTATCTCAAAAATAATTACATAGGTAGGTAACTTAAATTTAGCTACTCTCCTAAAGATTTCGGGTCATGTATATTATTTTTGTATTTGTTCACACTCATATTCTTATTGTAACTATTATTACAGATTGTATGAATTCTAATACATTTTAAAAATGTTAATTTAAATATAAACTATTGTTTTTAAAGTTACAAATATTAAATTATTACGATAAGTCTAAAATTTCGTATAATCAATATGAATACATTTTTTATTTTTATTATTACAGTTTATTGAAATGCAAAATGGGAAAACTGGTGCAACAGCGATCGGAAAATGTGGTATGACCCTTCGGTTGATTGTTCCAGCATCACAGTGTGGATCTTTAATTGGGAAGGGTGGTAATAAAATCAAAGAAATTAGAGAAGCTACAGGAGCACAGATACAAGTGGCCTCAGATGTGCTTCCTCAATCTACAGAAAGAGCTGTTACATTAACTGGTACGAGGGACTCAATAACGCAGTGTATATTTCACATTTGTGCAGTTATGGTGGAAGTAAGTATACTAAAAAACCATTTAACTGAAACAATTTTAACACATTTTCTATATTTAGTTTTATACAAAATGAGTACTTACTATTATTATAATAAATAACAAAATATTATGATAGATATTGTTTTTTCATTTAATCATCAATTTAAAGAACAGAACCAATAGTTTATGAAAAAATTGGTATTATTCAAATTTAATATAACTCAACCTTTTTAGTTATTTGAATCTTATGTATAATTTAAGAATTTTAATAACCAATGGGACATTATATTTCAGTCACCTCCTAAAGGCGTAACAATACCGTATCGTGCTAAACCTCAGATGGGTGCACCAGTTATACTGGCTGGAGGACAAGCATTTACTCTAGCAAGTGCAGGATCTGCAGCTGGTTGTGATGTGGGCACCATGATGGTAGGCGGTGGGCCATATAACGCTCCAATGCTTATGGTTCCTCCATCGCCTGGTGCAGCAGCAAGTCTAGGCTTGATTGATCCACTGGATTATCCCTTGCTTAAAAATGCATTTGGACCTTCACAAGTATAACTTTTTACTTCAAATAAACGTTTAACAATATGAAAATTCACTACCGACTTAATTAATGTATTTTAGTTGGGAAAATTGACCGGAAATCCGTTAGCTGGTCTTGCGGCACTTGGACTTGGAAGCTTGGGAGGACCTGCGAATTCATTTAATCCAGCTGGTAAGTTATTGATTTGATGTATACAATTATTTAATTAAGCTATAATTATTTATAAAATACATATTTTTACAGCATTAGCGGCATTAGCTGGCAGCCAGTTAAGATCTAATGGTTCTGGAGCCAATATTAACAATAGATCTGGAGGCGGTCAACAAACTCACGAAATGACGGTACCAAATGACTTAATTGGCTGCATCATTGGAAAGGGAGGAACTAAAATCGCTGAAATTAGGTGTGTGTTTAGTTGTGTTGGTTTTTACTATGTCACTTATGATTGATTTTATGATTCCAGGCAAATCAGTGGAGCGATGATACGAATCTCAAACTGTGAAGACCGCGAAGGAAGTGCAAGCACGGACAGGACCATAACAATAACTGGAAATCCCGACTCCGTAGCTTTAGCACAGTACTTAATCAATATGAGGTGAGTACCTAGTGTTTAAATTACAGCATGAATAAAACTACTACTCGTTTGCCATACCTTTTGGCAAGGACACACTTTCGCTTTTGCGTTCTCGTTCGGCTTTTTATTTTTTTTTCGGTAGCGATTCTGGGTCAAAATGGACAATAGGGGCTTGCATTAATCTACAGTAGCGTGCACTTGAAAGCTGTCAAGAATTATAAAGTTGTTAAATATCAGCAGTTTTCAGCTGACCCAGAATATATAGATGTGGAATACAGAGCCCGGCTTTAAAGCTGGTAGGCGTTCAATTAGAATTGGCTGCACTGTTACTGCGTGGCTATTTGCGGTCGAAATTTTATGCAGCTTGTTAATTGAATCATGTAATCCATTAATCCGTTTGAGGCATCGTCGCTGTGATTAAATTCCACTGAATCTAACGCAACTTCGCAATGCGGTGAATATATATTAGAAGTATAAATGTATAATAGCAGTTGATTGAATTCGTGTAACATTTTAATGAATACGAAATTTAGAACTAAAAGAATAAAAATAATAATATTAAAATTAATTAATAACTTAAGTCTACAAATAAATATTTTATTAACGTTTGATATGACACATGTATAAATACATAGTTTTTACATACATTTCCTTTTCACGTATTATATACTATATAGTTATTTACATAGCATATCCCATCCCGAATTGTCTAGTAGTATGCCAAGCCTTAAGACATTCAATATATAACTATTTAATTAATATTATATAGGCAAACAAATTAATAGAACACGTAATAATCATTAATAAAAACGAATCACATGCATACATTCATTATTATAAATTATTGAATTATCATAATTCATATTACATGTTTAATAATTAATAATTACACCAATTTATTTTGAATACAAAATAATTTTAAAATATGAATTAAGGATTAAATTAAATTATTGTGAATTATGATTTCATAACAAAAACTTTTAAAATATAATACTGAAACATAATAATTTTAGTACTCACAAAAAATTTTAATTTGTCAAACAAATAGTCAAGCCGTTATTAGTAGAAAAGGGTGATGTACGATTTTGGCCCGAAATCGCACCCAATCGTTATTAGGTACTAAGATAACTACAATTACTTAAATAATAAAATCTAAACAAAAATGTATTCATCTTAATTTTATTCAGCTACCCCAGCAGAAGTCTATAATGTAGGGGGGGATAAAATTTAGCTTGGCCTAAATGATAAAATATGTACGCCAGTGTATTTAATTACATAGAATATCATTCTTGAAAATTATTGTATAGTATCGAATTCCTATTATTAAAAAAGTACCTATACGCACAAGACCCATTGTAAAATTGGTTTTCACTAATATTCGTTAGTAGAGTAGCATATCTATGTATTGAAACATTGTTGCTTAACCAGATACCACTACATTTTTTGAAGTGGGCTAGATATTTTGATACTCTTAAAATTATGGTGAAGTTAAAATTTTAAATGCAGATATATCGTTTTTACGGAACTACTTTAGCGAATTCCACAATTATTAATAAATCGGTACACCATGATAGTACTATGAGACACTTAATATAATGAATACCTTAAGTAGTTTTTTCTTCGATTTTTCAACTTATTTTTATTAACTTTCTATGATTTAAGTTAAAAACTCTGAGTTAGTTTTGCAAAACCACCAAAAGTATAGGTACCATTTGATAAAAACCAATAATTGTAACAGCACTTATAGAAACAGAGGGATTACTTGCTTGATAACATCACTTAGACAGTTAAAATCAAAACTCCCAAAGACTTCATTGCAAAATAACCACTGATGGTAATAACATTGTATAACAGTATAAAAATATAATTTTTTAATAGCCCATTGCCCATATAGACCTGGCGAGATTTCTTCGACACTACGCTGCCTTGAGTGATTAAAGCTAAAACATCCCTCGATTGATTGTATAAAATCACCACTGGTAGGTCACAGATTAAATTTTTTTGATGTTAACGCATATACCGCGGAGTCGCTCCCACGCTAGTTCGTTCATATGGCTTTGATGAAAAACGTCCTTCAATTTGCTATGTAAAACCACCTTGAGTAGATCAAATGGTAAGACCCAATTTTCAACTGCACTTGTTGATCCTGCTCGGACAGTTTGATAAAAGTTATATACAATACATGAGTGCATTGTACCACGAAATAGTGTTTGAAAAATTCGAAAATAACTATTTAAGGAGAACAGTTATAATACTAAAAACGTAAGATAAGAACAAATTTGAAACTAAATCCGACCACATAATTCTGACTTCACCATAGTTTTCAGTACCAAAATACGTAATTTCCAAAATAAAATAGGGGTATTCGGTGAAGTTAAGAAAATCTCTACTATAGTTATGTATGCCCACCTTGATCATTATATGTAGTATCTGTTGTGTGTTTAGAATCGCGAACCACAAATCGCAATTGAATACAATATAAGTAATAAATATACAGTGGTGCAGTCAGAGCCCAGATGGATCTGACGGTTATTATATTAATGTCGGGTTGCACAAACGGTCGATAAAAACAATTCAATAAGATGGTGATATCGGTTGGATAAACAAACCGATAAACATGTTTATTGAATCAATAATGTAGTGGACCGTTCCACATATATTCACAACATTTTATAAATAACCGTGATTAGTGGTTACGTATGCCATACAGATAAATCGTATAATATATACCATATATGTTATGTTTTATTATATATGATCAGAGAGTATCTATTTTGAAGGTCAGTGGTCCGTAGACTGGGACTATTACTGTAAAATGTAATTCTTATACTTTGTACCACTGATTATTTTTTAATATTTTACTCCAGATTATTATGAAATTGATATAAAAATAGCTAGGTTCAGATACTATACATGGGTACCATCGTGTGATTTATAAAAAAGTTATGTTTTGCAAAAGTTTAATGATAAAATATATTGGTTACCTCTAACACAAAAGTGTATATTCTGTATGTATTGTAGTTTTATCTAGAATGTATTTATAGATTAAAGACAATTAATATCTATTTAAAATTGGTAGTGCTCCTTTGAGAATCTGTAGTGGTTGATTTTTATTAAATCGCTTTAAAATAAAAATATATGTATGATATATTTTAGAATACCTCCAATAAGGTCTGCAAAGTTAAAAATCCTTCACCAAATTGTACCCTGGCTGAACTTCCTACCACTTCCAACAATATCAATCACTGGTTGTAAATCTCTGAAATAAAACACTTCACTGAAATAGTTCAACCGGGGACTGGAACTAAACCGAATAAAATGGTATTGAAACCGAAATCTTTTGAAAATTAAGAAAATTAAATTTTATCAATATCATGTATGTGTTGCCCCGCCTTACAACATAGCAAATTAGCGTTTAACAGAACCTATTTTGTGTTGTTGGCTTCAATATTAGAGTTAATTTACCATAATTTATTTTTTTATGAACCGAAATCTATGTAACCGGTTCCAGTCCCTAATGTACATCATTTTATATTATTCTTAATATATTTTCCTTGTTTTTGTTTTTCTTATATTTACTTACATATTATATCATAATGGTATAACGATTTTTATTTTTTATTCTACCGATATTGTTTTTATTTTTATTTTTTATTACTGCCCCCCACCGCCATTCCTCGACCTCGACCATAGCTTGGACATACAGCGCGCCTCGATGTTGCAATCGGAAATCCAACACCACCACCATCATCACCTCCTTCACCACCAACAGCAGCAGCAGCAGCAGCAGCAGCAGCAGCAGCAACAACAACAACAGCAGCAGCAGCAGCAGCAACAGCAACAGCAGCATCAACAGCAACAGCTAGTATTGCAGCCACACCAGTATCCGTTCCCTATTCACCACATGCTCGTCACATGCAACACCACGAACACCACCACCACCTCGGCCACGAACGCCCACCAGACCGCCAACCCATTGCCAGCCACCCACCCGCACCACCAACAGCAGTACACGACCGCCGCTGACATATTACCCGTCCAGCACCATTTCCACGGCCCCGCGGTAGCCGCACTGCTATCTCCTCAGCCGGCCGTTGCCAAACACAAAACCGACCGCATCAAGTTCACTCCGTACTGATATAACATTAAAATATACAAACAAACCCATTTCTGACCACAGTTTTAGGCGTATGTATTATAACATTATAGTAAACAATATACAATGTAGCATATCTTCGTAACAATACATACGAGAAGTAACTTTTTGTCCGTGAACTGCGACTACCGTCAAAATACTGTAACCTATATGATAGCGTGGTCCCAATTTCGTGGACTGATTGATGTCCACTGCAAATCACTGAACTTAAAAAGAACATAAACTATCGAATCTGTCCGAAAATAGTATACCAGACGATTACAACAATGGCAGCCGATCACATAACCTCGAATATCCTCTAACATCCATGACCTTGTAAACAAACACTAGTAGATTTCGTAAAGGGGCCTGGAACTGTAGGTACCTACTGAAAATAATCGGTTATGGAACGAAAATCCTCTGAAAATGTTGAAAACTAAACCTCACTGGAACCCTCATATTTTATACCTACCTATTTTAGAAACCGAAGAAATCATTAAATTGCCAGTCTCTGTTTTGTTCTTAATTCACAAGACTGTAGTTGCTAGGGGTGGAACGGGATCAGTTTCTAGACACAATTGAGACGTACTGGCCATATTTTCACCGTATACACGTATAATTGTTGAATAAAAAGTGTGTCTCTAGGGGAATCGTCACTTGCGTATCGTATAGTTACTTATTATAGGAAAATATAAAGATATCATGACCATTGGTGCAACTACTGGAAAGGGTTGTAGATAACTTATCCCCCAAACGTTGATTTATTCTCACTAGGTATTCTTTTTTTATAGTTTTTAGAGGTTTTCTGTGAAATTGTCTTTTTACAGTATACACTATACAGTTTATTATAAGTTATAACACTAATGTCAACAACTTTTTTTATTTTACTAGGTTTAATTATATTACAAAAAAGGCTTACAAATTTGGCAATCATACATATTTCTACGAATTGTTAAGAAATTGTTAATTATTTTTTTTGTGTGTGTGTGTTACAGTGCACTTATTGTATTCATGAAAATGGAGTTTTCATAGGGGCGGGGGTTGGTAGGAATTCGTTACTACATTATATTTTCTAGTCATTTTTCAATTATTTAAGTTTATATTGAGGTAATCATAATATTGATTGAAATCATTTATTAATCATACATATTTCTACTTAATTTAATTTGTTATTATATATTGAAAATGGTAAGTGCCTTATACTCAACCGTTCATTAAACCGTATTAATTTTGTAAAAACTATATACAGACCAAATTTTTAACCATTCAAATTTATTGTATATTTTTTATCATTTATTTTATATCAAAATATTTATGTGATATTGTGATCTGAATAAAATGCTCACTTAAAATAATTATAAATATTATATAATTATGTGTATATTATTTAAGTTCAAACAATTTAGAGCATTCATATAATTATATTGTTCCGATATCATACAATATTATTAATATTATGTTGTGTTATAATTTTATAGTTTAATACTTCTGTAGATGACGAAAGTGAATATAAATTTTGTTAATATAATATATATTTTAGATTATTAGTGATAATATAAATTTTAATGAGTTTACAAATACCTACAGGTTTTTTTATTATTATGAGTCATCATTTTTCAACTTTACTCTATAGGCTATTTGATATGCATGAAACAAAATCCCTTATAATTTAAATCAAGAAATATATGCATGAGACTATATTATAATATCAAGTAAATGGTTTTATCATAAAGTTAAGTTGTTTTTTTTTATTCGTTATGTTGATTAGTGTATTACTAAGCATGTGTGTTCAGCAAAAAAATTGTTTAATTTTTGAAACCAATTGAAACTTGTATTTGAACGTATATCAAGGTCAGTAAACTCGACATTTTATCAATATATCGCACATATTACCTATATATCTTATACTAAACGATTCAAGGTGTCTGTTGATCGCCGATCTCGTGTAGACTTATATTTTATTGAATGTGATTTTATTTGTTATCAGGATATCTATGGAGACTGCTGGACTAGCCTTGCCCGGTTATCATTACGTATCACCCAATCACATTGTCAAGTCACCGATCCATTAAATCAACGTACAAAAGAGGTAAGCAAACGGTTTATGAAAATGAAAGTAATACACAACCAAAAATGCTATCTTATAGAGTTAGGCTTGACAATAAATTCCAGAGCATGTGTTTTCTTTACCACAGTTGTTGGTTTTTTTGTAAATTTTTTTACAACTTTAATAAATTATAGTCAATAAAAATAAACTAATTTTAGTTTTTATGCAGCGTACTATAATATTTTATGTGTATTAGATCTATCTGAATGTATAAAAAAATTGGTTTACTATTTAAAAAAAAGTTGAAAAATTATAATGTTCAAGCACATAGTGAAAAGTTTTTATTGAACAACTTTCAGAAATGTGTAATATTTAGTACCTACCTACTGAGATTCTGAAAACTCCATTTAAATTCAAGGTTATTCAGCTGAAGTGTTTAGTGATACCTCTTAACTTATGAAAACACTGTGTAAATAGTACACTCATAGTTTTATTTTTATGTATACAATATATTAAATATTTATTAAATATTAGATACAACATATCATCAATCGTAAGACTTTTTAAAAATATTCTTGAACTGTGTCAAAAAAAAGTTTTTATAAAAAAAAAAAATATTTATTTACCTAATAGTTAAGTACCCAACTATTTTTCCATTTTACAATCAGTTAAACGGCACTCTGTGTATGCAATTTCAAGGCATTCTTGTCTGTCAATGTCAATAGCCTAAATTAACAACTTGTTTATCTTAATAGTTAAAAGCTGGTTTAGAGAAACTAATAAAACAAAATATATTAGGTTTTAAGAAAATCTTTAATAACAACTATATAATTTGATTCGTATAATTTAAAAACTTTTCATATTGATAATATTGTGCTTTTTATTCCAATAACTTATAATTATTTTCCCACAATAATTATGATAATTTTGAAAACTAATCGATCAAATGTCCTTTAATTTATACGAATATTCCCCACAGTAGGTGAATATCTTATCACAACTTTCGTACTTCTCTGAATCTAAACAAACTGTTCAAACAGAAACAAAAAGTGTTTAAAAGAGGTTTCAAACTCGCTTTGGCTCTTACTCTAACCTAGCCTAACCAAATATCGTTGTAACACGATTGAGTATTAACCAAGTTAAACCTCTTCGGTATTCAAAATTCCACACAACGTTTGGGCACTCACTATCCCTGAGAAGATAACACATTTGGGATCAAAATGAAACAAGTATCGTAGGTTAGGTTAATGCTATACTTTAAATAAGCCTCAAATTTTATATGCTATAATACTTTAATAACCATATGTATAATAATTAAAATACTTGAAAAATGTGATGAAAACTCGAAGTCAGATTATTTTCATCATATTTTTTAACATGGATTTCCAATTATTTTTATATATTTAATTTATTTAATGTTTTCTTTTTATAAGCATTTCAGTTATCATTTATGTATTTGGTATTAAGTTATAAGTATACACTTTTTTCTAATTTAATTTAATTATATTTGAACGCTATTTATAAAAATGTAGAAAGATCTGAAAGTAAATTAAAACGTCCACTAAGTGGTTCAACTACAAATGATAAAATTGTGCATTATAATGTTTATGAAATGTTTCAGATTTTTTGGTTGTCTAAGAGTTATTTGTAGGTACTTTTGCCTGAATATTTTACCGAAATGTGTGCTCATCACTATAATAATTTTCTAAAATATTATCAGTAAACGTATGGGGTTATTTGTAAGAGTTATATAAATTATATCAATATAACTATTAATAAAGTTCTCAGACAGAAAGAAATCTGGCCGAAAAAATATTTTAGCCACTCTCTTATTTCTGTATTATTTATTTTAATTAAGTAAATTATTATTTAACCTATTATACGATACCAGCTTTGACTCAAATCCGATTGGCACCCAATGATTTCTACAGTTGGAAACAATGCTTCTATTAATATACAGGCACTTTTTTCAAAATCTAAATCTATAACTTACTACTTACATACAAAATCTATACACTTACTTAAGTACATAAAAAACCCTATACATATATTTATTATAGTCCTTAGTACTCAAGCATATTGCAACATAATTGCGCAATTTTTATATTTTTTACTTCACTAATAAATTACAATACGATGCGCACGAGGTTTGTAACACAAATGAGCACCGATCCCTTTTAACCTGATCAAATCACAACATAATTGCACAAATGATATATGTATATACTATATCTATATGTAATTTATAAACAACATAATATACACAATAATGCATACATGACATACCACATAAGAGTATTATGTTAAATATAGGTTCATAATTTACCAATTAAAAATTCACTAAGATACTACACAAGTAATCATTGATTTCAAATTGTTTGAAATATTTTGCTTATTGACTATATTATACTCTATTTGAAAAATTGTACTAAATTTGTAAAATATACATTTTATGTATATTGATAAATATAAAAATTATATACATATATTACCATGTTGAGACTATTGTGTTAAGTCAAATCAAAAAAGGAAAATTTGCACAATCGTGTTAATATAATGCAATATTAGATAGATACCTATAATAGTTCCAATAGTGTCGATAGTCTGAATTACTCATATAAAATGTTTATTCCATATTTATACTTGATAAAAAAATATTTAACTTATGTTAATTCATTTTTTTAAGGTCTGCTATACAACACTTGGGCATTGGAAAAGTAAAATGATAATGAACATCAAAAATAAGGTATTATATAAATTATTTTATTTATCCAACGATGATGATAACAATTTTTGGATTTTCCTGTTTTAATAGGTTATAAACTTATAATTAATCTTTTGTATTATTATTATGGTTATTATTTATTTAACTATAGTATTCAATGTTTCGTTTTATTTTTATTTTTAATCTATTATTAGCGTTAATGTATTTTATGTTAATATATAATTATTATTATTATTAGTTAAGCTAAGTATGCGCGTTAGCGTTATAACTTATAAGTTGTAACTGTTCATGTTTATTCTTTGAATAATTGTATTATTTATTTAGTATTCTATTGGTTAATTTTTAAGATGTTATTTTTTTTTCTCTAGGTACACGCATATTGTTGCTAACATTTGGAAATTGTACCAAATTATTTCACACACTTGAGTATTATAGATAAGGTACAAATAGGCACTAATATTTAAATATTGTTCTTGTGTGTCAATAGAATCTGTAATTTTTATTTTTGCTGTCGAAAATCAAAATGCATTTCTGCATTCGTTGCCAGATAAAGCAATACCTACTATAAAATAGGTTAATATAAATGTATACAAAATACAATTAATATAATATTCTATAGTAATCGTATACAGGGTGAGTCGGATAATAGTTTAGAAAGTATCCAATTATAAGGACAACTATAGCTAAGTGTCCGACTGAGTATACATGTATTAATATAGGGTACAAACATTTTTGTACCTAATTTGGGTTATTTGAAGAATGGTTAATTTGTTGTTCAATCTCAGTCCTGAATAACATTAGTGTTATTCGGCTACCATATTAGTTCTACCGCCCCACCCTGTATAGTTTCCTATAATATGATTATGTTAACTTCGAAATATTGATTTCTGATCTATTATTAAACTCCTATATATTATAGGCGAGTAAATTCCTCAATAATCAATAATGTATAGTATAACATGAGTTAAAATAAATATTCGTAGCTTGTCTAAATTTTTAATTAAAATAATCGGCA